TTTTTTATTATTACAATAGTCATTGTGAAATCCGTGTTGTAATCGGCAGCATACAAGCTAGTTAGCTTGAAAAGTAAATAAAGTTTCAGACGTGTTCAGATTGGCTCAGTAAAACAACAATTAGGTTATCATGATGCGTTCAAGTGTAACGGAAAGAAAAGGGAAATTGAGTTTTTGGCGAGAAACATGAGTATTACAGTTGTATATTGCTCTAATTATTTTAGAATATATAATTAAACTACTGATGCCAACATTTATCAAAAATTAAATTAAATTTAAAATACAATGATTTATTTGCTAAATATCGTCGCATCGTCTTTCCACCAAATAACAGAAAAGTATCGATAGTGGTATCGATAAAAACTCGGATCCATTAGGAGTATCGATAAAGGTATCGATATCAGTAAATATTAACGATCCCCATCCCTAAACAGGACCACGCGTTTCTTTACTTTTATCTAAATGTAAAGCTAATCTAAAGGTGAACAGGATCACAGCTTTAATTGACTGTTTTTTTCTGCCCTGAAGCCATTTTAAATTGCTCGGCTTGAGTATTTTAAAGTGTGAACTTCATGTGGATGTTGATTTTTTTTTAATTATACATTTCTTTGTTCCGTTCTTTTGCTACAGGTGGATCACAGCTTTAATTTACAGTTTTTTTCTGCCCTAAAGCCATTTTAACCCTGTAATGCCAAACGTATCATATCTGATTCATACGGTTTCTGAAATGTTTTGCGTCTGACTCCTTTTGCATAATTTAATGGTAAAAACTTTGCTCAAAATCCTATTTTACACAATCAGATACACCTGATAACAGGGGGCAGAAGACTATACAAAAAATAATCCTGACTTATCGCATAGTAATAAATTATTAATATTAAAAATGTATTTCACTCTTTTCTTTTTACATATTTTGTTAAAAAGCCAAATAAGGAATTCAAACCAGAAAAAAGTAATTTTCTGTTTTGTTTTATTCTTGGATCGGGCTTTAAAGATTTAAAGGACTCGGCTTGAGTATTTTAAAGTGTAAACCTCATGTGGATGTTGATTTTTAAACAATTATATATTTCTTTGTTCCCTTCTTTTGCTACAGGTTCAATGAAAAATATATTATTAATGATGGATATCTGTATTAAATGAACTTGTCTTTCTCTGACAGCAGTGTAAACACTAACTAATAATTTATTATAAGCTTCTGAAACAAGATCGTCTTTTTTTTATCTCCGTTTCCTTAAGTTCAAATAAGATCATCTGATGAAATAGGTGTCATCAACCAAACTCAAACCCTAATGGTGAATTTATAAGTTGCTTCTTAAATCGAGAAAATTGTCCTTAAGGGCTGCTCTGATGTCTAGAAATACACAACCTCTTTGTTTTTAGCTGTAAAATTGTCGAATTCCAATGTGTTCCATCAAAGTAAATTAAAGTAAAGCTTTTAAAAGTACTTGAAAAGCATCATGTTAACTCTATAGACCAATTCATGATGCACGAATGTTTAAGTTATTGGGTGAATGTAGCATGTTAGTCAAAGGTCTTTGAATGTTCAACAAGACCATAAAAGAACAAAACAAGTACAGTCCATATTAAATGTCTTAAACATTAAATGGAGGGTGCATTTAGGGGAAATGAAATTTCGAATGAATGGTCAGAAATTGGCTTAATATATATTTTTAAGACATTACTTCTACATAGACAGCCTTTTGGGGCTCTGTTGACTCACCTGTATTTGATCGAATGACATGTCAAAGGTGAAAGACTCGTTGAAATAAGGATTCAGCGTCTTCTTTTTGATGGACGTTTTCCTTTTCTTCCACTTCCTCTTGTCCAGAGCCAGCTGCACCTTCACATACGGATCTACGAACACAGATTTCCTTTCAGTGCACGCTGGTATGGAGGTTGAACAGTTTCTGTGGTCTAAATCAGTGTTTTTCAACCACTGTGCCTCGGTACACTAGTGTGGTGTTAGTGATGGTCAGGTGTGCCGTAGAAAATCATCCTATTTCACCTCATTGGTCTAAAAAGATTGTTTGATAAGGAATTAATAATGTGGAAATAATATTCCATTTTTGAGTGTGTGTGCTGTTCTAGTGACTGGTGGCGTAATCATGTAATAATTCCTTATGACTATGTTTGGTATATAATTTTGCATATTGAAGTGGACATGTTAAGTGCAATTTGAAAGAAGAAATATAAAATAAGATAAAGATAAATGTTTGTGTTTATTTGATTCCTATTCATGACACTTAAGATAAGATAAGAATAAAATAAGAATAACTATAGTGTTACTATAGGCGGCTACAGATTTGTTTGACATTTTTGGTTGGTGGTGTGCCTCTTGATTTTTTCGATGAAAAAATGTACCTTGGCTCAAAAAAGGTTGAAAAACACTGCTCTAAATGACTAACCAGGGCTGGAGCCTGTATGTCCAAATACTGTATACTTATCCAAATGGCCAGAATTGCTTTTACTCTACAGCATTTTCAGAACTTTTCACAACAGAAAAGGATTAAAAAACTCAAACCAAAGTCATTTTTTCCAGCTAGTTAGGTTATTCTGAGTCTAACTGAATAAACCTAGTGTTAGAAATTGGCTAAAATGACTCATTTTAGCATAGTATGCTATCACATGATCTATGTAAATTACTGATTGTTTTATTTTTCTATTATAATTATATTTTGTGTTAAAGCCAATCTCTTTTTCTCTTTTTCTTTCTTTGTATTACACCTTTAGGTCAACACACACACACACACACACCATTTGTTACCACATTCCTGTCATCTGCATGAATTAGGACCTGGCCTGTTCCTGCCCAGAGGTAACTGGCCAATAGGACTTGGTTGTGTCCAGTCCTCCTTTGAAGAGGCGGACTGAGCCAATTTTTTACTCTTTAGTTTCCAACTAAAGAATCGAGTTAAAACTAGTGATTAGGCTACTTTTATTTGAACCATTTTGGAAGGTTTGTGGCTAAAAAAAATTATTCATATAATTTTTTTAACCTTTTGTTTGGCTCTGACTGCTGCCCATCATTGTGCGACACTTTACCCACTACTTATTTTGATCTTTGCTAATTCATCTGAGGGATATTTGCGTCTCTACTGA